TGAACCTTCAGCACAGGATACAGTCTTGTGTGCTCATTTTTAGCTCCCATTTTCTGGATGCAGATGCAGATTCTCTCCTGCCCTGAAGCTCATGAGTATTAAATGAAAAAGGGAAGAAGCTGCAGTAACAAATTACACAGCCTTGTTTACTGCTGAATTAGGTTAAAGTTCTTATTTGCTGGGTTGACTGCAATATAAATTCTGGTAATTTGGAGTTGGTTCCTGGAAGAGTGTAACAGAGGTACCCTTCTGTGCCGAGGAGTGATGATGTGGCCTGATTATGAAAGAAACAGATCCCAAGGGACTTGTGTTTGCGTGGTAGTAAGTGATCTCTGTCAGAAACTCTTAATAAATTTTTATATCTCATTTGCAAAAGTCAGAGCTAAGCACTGATTTTCAGTGCTAATAGGAGTAGCTGGTTTTATACATCTGTTACCAGGAACATGTGCTGTGTGAGGAGCAAGCAGTTGTACACAGAGGTGTAAGATGGAGGGATGACCAAGGCGCCTTTAAGTTCTTTCAAGGAATTTAGACAAAATTGCTTTTCATTTTCAGTTGTTTTTAGCTGCTGTCTTCTAGAAATTTTTCTTTTTTATGCTTGATGAGCTCAGAGGAATGTGTGAGAGATGCAGGCTGGGTGTTGCAGACAGGGCTGTGTCTGATGAATGTGTTGAGTGCCTGTGTGGGGGGAAAAATAAGTGAAGTTAAAAAGATTAAAAACTCTTTCCAGAGTGAGAAGGTAGGTCAGCGTGGGGAATTCATCTATGCACCAGCCTCTCTCACCAAGTCCAAGGTGGGTAGCCAGTTTTGCCCTCTAGTGGCTACAGCCTAAAAAACCGGGAAAACCTGGGATGTGGTAGTGCCAAGGGGGCTTGGTGGGGTTTGCATCTGGGGGAGGAAAGCACTAGTGCAGAAACTTTAGAGTTCTGTGCTAAATCCGTCCCGGAAAACAGTGTATGGCTGGGCAGTAAAATCCATGAGCCGGCCTTTCTATGGGTTTTGGGACTGTGACAATGGGCACGTGCTGAATGGACCAGCTGATATTATTAGCAGCTAGACTGAGTAAGGTTCACTAAGTCCTACCTGCTTTGCCCTCTTTACGACACACTTGGCTGAAAATTCCCTTGGCCTTCCTGTAAGGCAGAGTTGCACCTTATAACAGTTCTATATTTCCTGCAGGGAGCATTTCCAGGAAACCTGCAGCTGGTGTTTGTCCTGCGACCCTCCCGCTTTATCCAAAGGACAATCGCTGACATTGGCATTAAACTCTATCGAGATGACTTTAAAATGAAGGTACCGGTAAGCATGCATTTTTTTGCACATGTGTTTCTTTGTCTCCATGTCTGCAGTTCTTAGGTGTCAGCAATTTCTCATAACCCAGTCACTGATACTTGATTGCAAGTGGCAGTTGGGGACTTTTATCTGGGTCTGCATGGTGTATATAATAGTAACGTCAAAGAGTTAATTACCAGTGGATGCTTCACAGTATTTAATGAACACGTTCCCATGTGGAAGGTCAGTCTAGCTATAAAATACAGCTCGTTTTTTAAGCATTGACATCTTAACTCAGTGCAGCCATTCCCCTGATGTAGGCAGAGGTAGATCTTCTCACTCCAGTCACAAACATAAATATTTAGGACTACAGAGAAGTGAAAGACTAGGACTGAATTCTGCACTAGTTTATGTATTATCCATGGGACTGTTGACATTGCCCCTGTTAAGTGCTTGCATAGCGTTGCCTATTCTTAATGCCTTTTATGATCCCCATGCCCTCCAGATTCAAAGTTAGTTTTTTACTTCTTTTTACATGCACTTGGCGTATGCTATGGGTTGATGAGAATGTGATTTGAAACTGTTTATCAATCCTGAAAGAGTTTAAGCTTTAGATTATTTTATAAGGGCTCTTTTGGGAGTTGTTCCTAGCTGCATGTTTGCATGTGGTTTCAAAGTGTTTTATAAATAAACTTGAATTATGATTATCGATGGCATTTCATCCTGGACCAGACTCATACTGTGTTCCACAATGACTTTACTGGAATGATTTCATATCATTGTTTTGGATTTTGCTTGTGGTTTTATATTGTTTTTCATAAGACCCATGGCTCTCCTCCAATGAATTCTAGCTCTGTCAATAACTAAGTCTGAAGTTCAGGTGTTTAAGACACTTTATGCTGCTTCTGAAGCAAGAGGCAGTAGCCCATTTATTACAATGCATACAGGAAAGAAACTGTGAATATTCATTTGATTATTGTGGTTTAAATTGTAACTGTAGTTTGACAAGGGTGGTAAAATGCAAAATTGATATTAAAATGTATGTTTGACTGAAAAACCAAATCTTTTCATTTTATAGCACCTTAAACAATGGATGTTCCTGTATATAGTAAGCCACAATCTGTTACCATAGCAACTGTTGTACCAGTGACTACAAGCCCAGAAAGGGACAACTTCATCAAGGACTAGCATCTTCTAACAATTTAGCATCTTCTATACTTTTAGTGATTTACTTGATGACAGTTTTGCTTTTCAAATCCAACTTGAAATTATCAAAGTTGGAAAGGAGGTTAATTCTAGGCAGGGGTCAAACACTGCATTAAGTATTAAATAAGAACTTACCTTTGTTACAGACAGGAAAATCAAGATATGAGTTCAGTTTGGGGTCACCTTGGATATTGAGATTGTGAGCCATCTTGGGTATGTCCACAGAGCTCTTAGAGAGCAGTCTTACAAAAACTAAGAGCATGACATGGTTGCTGCCAGATCTGCCTGCCTCCTGCCCAGATATCTGTAGACAGCTGATCTGATTTATATAGAGCATGTCCACATATGCCTGATGCTGTTATAAGTTGCTTAGGGTTGTGCTAAAGGTGTCCTAAGTTCCAGCGGTCTGCCATGCTCTATGGAGGGGCCTTTCACCTGTGTTTGCAGCCCATCCCAAAAAGACCATCTGGGCATGTCCCTGTGTACCCCAGTTTCAGAATGGGTAGGTTACTGAGAGTGATATCCATTTGTCCCTCTTGAAAATAGAATCCTACATGCAAAACATTAGAATAGGGCCAGAGAGTTCTTATTCCATGGGAGATATCCTTACTCGAGGAATTAGGTATCAGTACCTATCTTTAATATCACCATCATCTTTTAAATTGTTTGCAGGTTGTTTGTTCATGTTGTGCATTTGGCAGTATGACAACATTCATGTTGTGATTGGGCCATGGATGGGTTGCATTTCCTATCACAACTATAAGCGAGTCAGGGCCAGGACATGAGCATTCAAAAGGGGCCTCAAGAATATGCTGTGCATTTGTTAAACTCTTTAATAAATGTTTCCATATCTGAGCTATCAGACTGAAAATATATTTGGTAAAGTAGATTTACTGGGTTAAATCAACACTGGATTAAGTAGAAGCCAGAAGATCAAATAGGAGCAGGAAATACAGGCTGAAATAATAAACCAGACACAATAAGGAAATGCAGGTCTTACATGACTTATTGACATATAAATGTGGTTAATGAAACCTGCTGAGATAAATGTTTATTGGGATACTGATTTGATTAAATATCATTAGGCAGGAGCAAGACATAGAGATATAGGAGATACACCAGGGTTCATGTGAGATAAAATCTGGGAATCCAAAAGGAACACCCAGAGATTTACCTAAGGAACCTGCCATCGTGAAGTGAATTAAAGCATCTTCATAGTGTACACGAAAGTCTGAATAATCTGTCCGTAGGAGGCACTTCTTTGACCTTTGTAGACTGTGACTTCTTTCAGATGACCTAACCCATCATGAAGCAACCCCTATGCAGCGATGTGTTCCATGCTGACTTGCTTATGCAGGCCCTCCTCTTCTAAACAGCTACTCTCTTTTATTTTCTGGCTTACTGGATGTGGCTGTCTGCAGTCTGGCAAGAAGTATGGGAGACACTGATGCTCTGTAAGATTGGTTTCTTATATGGACGTTGGATTGCTCCTAGGCTTTCTCCTGCAGAGATGCCTGCAGGCCCTGCTGGGTAGCATCATAGCTGGCAGTATTAACAGATTTGCTTTATGGCTCGTGCTGAGCATATTAGGTTAAAGCAAACATCTTCCTAAAAGAAAAGTGCATGACAGTGTTCCTCTGTGGTTTCAGTGAAGTTTAGAGTATCAGATTTCCAACCTGTCGCAACATCTCTGATGGGGAAGAGCTACAAAGCAGTTAAGAATTACTTTCTCAGAGGTGATTTACAATACAGAAATAGTGCATAGGCTTCACGTTCCAGTCTGAGGCTACTCCAAGATGATGTAGTTTTTTGAATTTTCTGGCTATGATCATAACAGAATGGCATTTGGTAGCACATTCAGGGAATAGTTTTCCCTTTAGCTTTGGCTGAAGTACTTTGTGCTTTCTTTGCCTCAGTTCCGTCACCAGCAAGATCTCCTGGCCTCTGTGTTTAGGAGCAGAGTTCAAGGAGAAGATGAACTGCTGGAAGTGAAAAAGCATTGAGTCAGGGACTACTCAAGAATATTCAGCCCATACAGATCCATGGGACCAGATGCACCTCCCACAACATTCTTGTATCCGAGTTAGGATGTTAAAGCCTGGATGGGTGGACAGCTAGATGGATTTAAAAATTAGTTGCATGATTGGGCTCAGAGGGTAATGGCTAGTGGGTTATACTCTACCTGGAGGTGAGCAACAAGTGGAGTAGTGTAGTGATATGTGCTGGGACCTGCCTGTTTAACATCTTTATCAGTGACCTGGAAGAGGCAACAGGGTGTGCTGTCATCAAGTTTGCAGGTGACACTGAACTAGGAGGAGCAGTTGGTATACTCAAAGACAGGGCCACTGGAACATAAGCTCAAGGAATGGGCTGACCAGCATATTATGAAATGCAAAAGGGTCAAATGCAAAGTCCTGCAACAGGGAAGGACTTCCTTGTGGAAGGGCCCCCTTCCTCAATAAGGAAGAACCCATGTTCTTCTTTCCCAACAACACAGCAGTGTTGTATTGTTGACAATAGTACAGGCTGCAGCCTGACTGTCTGGGGAGCATCTCTGCTGAAAAGGACCTGCAAGCTTGATAGACAGCAAGCTGTATGTGAGCCAGCAGTGTGCGCTGGCAGCGAGGGAAGCTATCAGCATCCTGCATTAACAGCAACAGTAGTAACAGGAGCATAGCTAGCAGATCGAGACAAGCGATTGTCCCACTTTACTTGGCTCTTATTAGATTGCACAGAGAATATCCTGTACAGTTTTGATTTCCCCAGTACAAGAAAAATATTAATCTGGAGTGAGGTCAACAGATAACTATCAAGAAGGTCAGGGCTTGGAACATGTGCTCTATCAGGAGATGCTGATGGAACTGGGCTTGTCTAGTCTGGAGAAGGGAAGGCTTGGGAGGGTTAATATGACATAACAGCAGCTTTCCAGTCCCTCCAAGCAGGTTACTGAGAGCGTGCAGCCAGGTTGTTCATGACAGTAGGACAAGAGATAACTGACATTAAGTGAAACAAAGGCAGTTCTGACTTGATATAAGGAAGAACTTTTTCACTGTAAAAATAATCAGGCAGTGGACCAGACTGCCCAAAGAGGTTGTACCATCTCAATCCTTGGAGGTATATAAGACCCAAGTGGAAAAAGCTCTGAGCTCTGGTTTGATCTTTTGGCTGATGTAGCTTTGAGAAAGAAGCTGGTCTAGAGACCTGAGGTTCCTGCCAACCTGAGTTGTTCTACAATGATTCTGTAACAAAAATCAGCTAAAAACCTCTTCAGGTTTGTTCTCAAGGCTTTTCTTGGAGCACTGTCAGCCTAGAATATACATCCTCTTGCCTCCATACATCTGTGCTCATCTCATTGTCCACAGTGCTTGCAAGTGTACTTACCGTTCTTCCTTGGAGCCTGCTAATAGGCATAGCCAGTTATCCTTTCTTTAAACAGTGGAGTAAAGTAATACATTTGACATATATTAAAGTGTAGGGCTTAAAATTTCTAGTCATTTGTTCCCAACATCTTGTTTTTCTGTGGCTGAAATCATATGTATTTTCTAGCTGCTAGAACAACAAGGCATAATTAAATACATGTATGTTATTTGTGCAACCACTTGTGTTGCCAGATTTACGTTTTAGCGACTGTTGTAATACTACTTGCCTGAAGCTGAATGCAAATCTGCTTTTGCTTTCATTAAGCAGGTCTAGTGGCAGGGAGACTCTTTAAAGTGAGAAAATGGTTTTAAGTTTGTCTCTCCTTTCTCTTTCATCATGGTTTAAAGTGGAATAATGCCAGTGAACTCTGTGGACATACAGTGCCATAAAAATGATACAAATCAAAGGAAAATCTTACTCTCAGTGGTCTGATTTCAGCACTTCTCTGGATCAAGTGGTTGGTGTTGAGGAAGCTGTTTAGCCTGTCTACTCCTCCATTTCCCTGTAAATAAGAGTTATCTAGAAAATACAGAAATTATTTGATGGACGTTTGTGTGAACATTATAAATACCATAGTTTTGCTCTTGGTGCATATGCAAAATGACTGCATCCTCAGCCTAGCAAGCAGCAAGATGATGTCAAATTATGGTTAGTTCAAGAACGGTCATGTACGTGTTGAGAAGGCAAAATCTAGTGGTAGTAAACTGTGGCCATTGCATGAACAAATACATAATGTATGTATGGTGGAACTGCAGTTTGGTGATATATGTTTAAGGCAAACTAAGGTCCTAGGAAAAATGATTGCAAGGACTGATTATTTCTCTCAGTCCATTGTGTTTGGATTCATTTCAGATCATCATGTTAAATTCTGTCTCTGATCTGCATGGCTATATTGACAAAAGTCAGCTGACCCGGGAGCTGGGAGGAACCCTGGAGTATGGCCACAGTCAGTGGATACATCACCGAACAGTGAGTGTTGGTGTTGTTCTTACGCATGTCTACACCCAGAATTGTCCACATGATGAATGTAGCGCAACCATTAAGTAATAACTCTTCAGCTGCATTTCGGCCTATGGATTCTGTTAGGGACTCATGGAAAGAGGAAATCCATGACTTAGTAGAGAAAGGTAAATTCCCCAAAAGTTTATAACAGAAGTAGCAATCTGTATCTCACTGATGACCTGGACTAGGGCCTAACAGTGTCATGGTATGCTTACTCAGCAAGGCCCTTTGGCACGTTCTTAGCTTTTGAATATTTGACGAGATTCATAGGCCTTCAGCTCATGGTTGAAGTTCAACATAGGCTTTAGCACTTCACTGAATCAAAGGTCAAAACTGTCACTTTAATGATTATGTCCATGTTTTTAAGAGAGGAAAAATACTCAAGACACTAGATTTTATTTTCCTTTGTTTTCATTTCTGTGCTGTGTAAACATGCACTCCAGATAGGTCTTATTTTGAGTAACTGAAGAACAGTGAATAATTGTAGGAAGGCAGGAAGACTTTTTATTCTGTTGCTTTTGAGGAAACTTGTTACAGGTTTGACTGATTGTTCCCTGTTTGGGCTGGTGAATGCATTTCAGTGGCTGATTCAAAACACTGTAAACAATTCATTATGGTGCCCAGAAAAGGTGACAGTTCACAAAAAAACAGACCCCAAACTCTGGCACATTAGCAGCCAAAATATCGTCTCATCCTGTCTAAGCAAAAATGGGCAAAGCTGGGTCCTGATCCTGGAAAATGAATTTATTTCCCAGAGACTGTATGCAATGTTTGCACCTGTCTTTGTGGGTCTGCTTGCAAGACTGGCATGTTAGAGCTGACATCTAAGTAGCCCAAATGTTTTGCAGTCTTCTGAGCAGCCTTGGGTTTAGGTCTGTTGTTGCTGACCTGCAGGTTAGGTCTAACACTCGGAAAAAGAGCTTTTCTGAGGTAGCTTTGTTAAGTCAAATCACTTTTGTCTCTTCCCTGATATCATTTTCTGTGCTTTACTGTCCTTATAAAATTAAATTTTACTCTCCTTGAGAACCACCAAATATTTCATGCTTCTAAATATGCAAACAGAATCTGAATTTCCTCTGACACTGCTCTGCTACATTTATAGCTGTGTTGCCTATAGTGAGGTTAGGATTGAGATAGGTGAACAGGCTTACATGGTAAAACTATCAAAAATATGTAACTGTCCTTGCAGGAGGAATGAGTCTGAAGGAATAATCTATATGAGCTTTCAAACAGCTAAAGGCTTGAAAAAATGAGGAAGGGGGGTAAAAAGAGGCACAAGAAAGGCTGTATTGTTTATTAATGACAGGAGTTTACATAAAGCATGAATATATAGTTTGGCAAAATATGCAAATAAAAGTGAGCCAAGATTTGAGGTGAGTGTGGCTATGTAATCCCCAGATGTTTTGGTTAAATTTGTTTGACAGTCTTTGTGCTTTTACCAAGCACAGAGACTTAAAAAAAACCCCACAGATGTAACTGAGATATATGAAACAATTTATTACTCATGCACACAGGAGAGGATGGGGCAAGCACACTATCAACTCTGATGAGCTCGTGGTGCATGGTGCAGTCAGCCAAGGAATCTCTGCTGAATAAGAGGTTGTCAGTCAGGGAAGTGTCAGCTGCCATGGCACCTTGAAACAGCCTGACTTTCAGTCTTGCTGAGCTATGGTCTTCATCCCCTTTGCTGCTTCTCTTAGTGTTTTCATATCTTGTCCTGCCAGTGCATTTGTTCTGAAACAGCTTTAAACTGTTGCTAAATGATAGTGACACAGCAATCTCACTGCATCGTTCTTTGTTTCTGCTTTCTTATCGTGAATGGCTAGGAGCCTATGAGCTTTCTTGCCCACAAACTAAATTTTTGGCTTTTAGTAAATGGCCGTTGGTTGTGGATGGCTCTATCTGTGTTGCGGTCAGAAGTGTAACATTTCAGCCAATTTTAATCCAGCAGTTTCAGTGCTGAGAACAGCAGGCTACAGCTGCTAAGCACTAAACCAGAGCATATGTGGGCCTGTACTGCTTATGTTGAAGGCAGGCATGAATTTATGGGAAAAAAGGGAAGCAGGCTATGAAACCCTGCTAGCATTGCCTCATCTGTGACATGTTTGAGATCATATATCTTAGAATCATAGAATGCTTTGGGTTGGAAGGGACCTTGAGAGGTCATCTAGCCCAACCCCCATGCAGTGAGCAGGGACATCTTCAACCAGACCAGGTTGCTCAGAGCCCCGTCCAACCTGGTCTTGAATGTTTCCAGGGATGGGGCCTCCACTACCTCACTGGGCAACCCCTGCTAGTGTTTCACCACCCTCATTCTAAAAAATTTCTTCCTTGTGTCTAGTCTAAATCTACCCTCCCTTAGTTTAAAGCCATTACTCCTTGTCCTGTCACAACAGGCCTTGCTGAAATGATTTTCCCCATCTTTCCTGTAGGCCCCCTTCAGGTACTGAAAAGGTGCTATAAGGTCTCCCTGGAGTTGTCTATTCTCCAGGCTGAACAGCCCCAACTCTCTCAGCCTTTCCTTGTAGGAGAGGTGTTCCAGCCCTCTGATCGTTTTTGTCACCCTCCTCTGGACGCACTCCAACAGGTCCATGTCCTCCTTGTGCCGAGGGCTCCAGAGCTGGACGCAGGACTCCAGGTGAGGTCTCACCAGAACAGAGCAGAGTAGCAGAATCCCCTCCCTCAACCTGCTGGCCATGCTTCTTTTGATGCAGCCCAGGATACAGATGGCCTTCTGGGCTGTGGGCGCACATTGTCATCTCATGTCCAGCTTTTCATCCACCAGTACCCCCAAGTCCTTCTTGGCAGGGCTGCTCTCAATTCCTTTATCCTCCAGCCTGTATTGATACCGGGGGTTGCCCTGACCCATGTGAAGGGCCTTGCACTTGGCCTTGTTAAACTTCATGAGGTTCATACGGGCCCACTTCTCAAGCTTGTCCAGGTTCCTCTGGATGGCATCCCGTCCCTCAGGCATGTCGACTGCAGCACTCAGCTTGGCGTCATCTGCAGACTTGCTGAGGGTGCACTCAATCTCGCTGTCTATGTGATTGATGAAAATGTTAAACAGCACTGGTCCCAGTATGGACCCCTGAGGGATCCCCCTTGTCACAGGCGTCTATCTGGATGTCGAGCCATTGACCACTACCCTCTGGTTGCGATTTTCCACCGAGCAGTCCACCCATCAAATCCATGTCTTTCTAATTTAGAGAGAAGGATGTTGTGGGGGACTGTGTCGAAGGCTATACAGAAGTCCAGATAGATCACATCCATAGGTATTCCCTTGTCCATTGATGTAGTCACACTATCATAGAAAGCCACAAGGTTAGTCAGGCAGGACTTGCCCCTGGTGAAGCCAATATGTGGAATGTAATCTCTCTCTGTACCTTTTGAATGATGATCTACCTCCAGTTCATTTTTCACTGAGCACACAGCATAATTTTAACTGTCATGTTTGCAAATGAGGAATTCCCATAATTGCTGGGGAAGGGAATGCAGCTTGTAAAAACTATGTAGTATTTGACTTGGTGTAAGAGCATCCCTAGTGCTGTTGACTGACCCAAACCACTGGGTAGGTTAGATCAAAAAGTGTAAAGAATAAAGAGCTACACAGGACAATGCAGCCCCTAAAGAAATTGGGGCATGATCATGAAAACATCCCATGCAGTTACTTACTGCTAGATACAAAGATTTTAATCACATCTCAGAAGTCTGAACAATGTATTATACTCTGAAAAGGCAGCATTCTTTTTAAGCCTTCCTCACTTCCTCTTTTTTCAGTAAAACCACAGATTTCTGACAAGTTTTGTGTTGGTGCACCCAAGTGATAAAGAAGCAGCAATGCTGCAATGAATTTATGCATTTTAACTGTATTTGCAGTAAGTTGTTCTTGTATTTGTGTACTAATGTGAACAGATGGAAGGGAGTGACTGGAACACATCTGGTACATATCGAGTAGATAGGCAGGATGGAGATGCACTTTTTCAGAAGTCAGGGGGAAGACAGATTGCTGTTAAGTGAACACTGGCTATATAAATATAAATGCAAAAAGGCTTTGCCCTATATACTTTCAGAGTCTCCTCAACTTAAATAAAGCCTTAACTGAAATTTTAAATACAGCAGAATTTCCCAGCAAGCATGGGCACAGGATCTGAAGTTCCAGTCCTGGCTTTGAAGCTGATGCCCTCTGTGATTTCATTATGTCTGTTAACGTCTGGGAGTCTCCAGCTCGTTCATGGAGCTGACAGTACTTGTAAGCATGTGAAAAGATCATTTGTGATACAGGATTTAATCTGTAACTTTTCGCATATCCATCCATAAAAAGGGCAACATGGCCAGCTTTACAGGCATGTGATGCTTGCAGCACAGCATGCCTGAAGGGCTAAGCATTGTTAAAGGGCTAAGGGTAAATAACCGCTCTGACTTCATGCTCTTTCTTTTCCAGGCTATTGAAAACTTTGCAATGACAGTAAAAACAACAGCACAGATGCTACAGACCTTTGGAACAGACCTAGCAGAGACTGAACTTCCCAATGATGTGCAATGCACAGAGGAGCTCCTCTCTGCACACACTGACCACCATGGCAAGCTGAAGGTGAATGTTGTCTTGTGACAGTTCGGTCAGCATAGTATATGATTTTTGATTTAAGAAAATTTTCTGCCACCATTTGAGAGTCCATTGTCTGGAAACTACTGAAGAGGAGAGAAGCCTGGGTTCAGGATCTTTTTCCTCATCAGAAAGGCTGAAGTCATACTGGAGCAGATGTAGAGAACATCTGTGAGGGTAATCCAGGAATAGACAAAATGATATAACTAGATGACAACTGTCATTTTGTTTTTTTAAAAAAAAGTTGGGGCAAGTTTAGCTGTGCAGAGTAAGGCTCAGAATAAGATATTACTGCTGTCAACAAACACCTTGGGTTAAATACAAGAGAAAAAATACTCCTTAAGCTATATTAGCACAAGAACAAGTTTTATGCAAGAAGTGTGCAGTGATGTGGGGACTCCTCATCTAACATGTTAATGTTTGAGCCTTATTGTCCTTTTCATTGCTCATATGTCATGCTGGGAAGACATGTTCTTCTGTGCAGGGCTCCTTGATAGCTGACATACTGTGGCTCAGCATGTCACAGTGTTGTTTAAGGAAATTCTGTTAAGAAGTGCAATGTCTCAGCACAGTCTCTCAGCTCACTGAACGATCTGTGGCACACATTCAATTTGTGGTAGAATAATTTATTCTGCACGTTGCCTGGTCAGAAATGCAATCTGTTCAGAAGTTACAGTATACTATTCCTTTTCTCAGAAATATATCTTCTATTCAAAATGAATAGATTTAGTCTCTGCATAGTCAGGTCAGGAGAGGGACCTGGGTGTCCTGGTGGACGACAGGTTAACCATGAGCCAGCAGTGTGCCCTGGCTGCCAAGAAAGCCAATGGGATCCTGGGGTGCATCAAGAAGAGTGTGGCCAGCAGGACGAGGGAGGTTCTCCTTCCCCTCTACACTGCCCTGGTGAGGCCTCATCTAGAGTACTGTGTCCAGTTCTGGGCTCCCCAGTTCAAGAAAGATGAAGAGCTACTGGAGAGAGTCCAGCGGAGGGCTACAAGGATGGTGAGGGGACTGGAGCATCTCCACTACGAGGAGAGGTTGAGGGAACTGGGCTTGTTCAGCCTGAAGAAGAGAAGGCTGCGAGGGGACCTTATAAATGCCTACAAATATCTGAAGGGTGGGTGTCAGGAGGATGAGGCCAAGCTCTTTTCAGTGGTGCCCAGCGACAGGACAAGGGGCAATGGGCACAAACTGAAGCACAGGAAGTTCCGTCTGAACATGAGGAAGAACTTCTTCCCTCTGAGGGTGACGGAGCACTGGAACAGGCTGCTCTGTGATTCTGTGATTTCTAGAAAAACATACCCTCTTTAGTAAGCATTTATATTTTGTTCCAAATATTAAATACCTATGAAAGAATCCTCCTTTAGCATTGCTGCATTGTACATCTCTTAGAGTTGTTAGAATAACTACATACAGTTTGTTTGACTTGTTTTTTTTCCCCTCAGGATGAGCTGAAACTAGCTGTGAAGCAGGGAGCCACCCTCCTGACATGCATTAGGGAGCCAGTCACCCGAAGCGCCAACAGCAAACTCAGTCCAGATGAACTGGAAAATGTGGCAACAGTAGAAAGGTTAGTGAAGCTAGATTACCTTAGGCAAGTTGCTAATTTATTCGTAAGAAATGCAAGTGTAATTTAAATTATTTAAATATGTGGGTTATAAATTCCCACTGGTTCAGCTATTTGGCATTTATTGGACAGGTAAGTCAGAGAAGGGAATAGGTTTGAAGAAGTTACTTGATTAAACTACAAGTCCTGAATTTCTTGGTAATTTTTGGTTGGACCACTACCTACCTGGCTGAATATCCAAGATTCAGTGTGGGGCTCTCTCCATAACATATGCGTCCTCCAAACTTCTATGCCTGGGTAGAAAGTGGCATCTCAAGGCATGTGAGATGAGAGGGTGTGTGCTTGTGCATGTCCATGGAAGCACTGGGGAAGGAACAGACAAAAGTGATACTCTGAAATGCACCCCTTCACAGCTGCAGAGAGAGAGAAAGAGAAACCCCTACTCCTTCCTAAAATGCTACTTTTCACTGTAAAGCTTTTAGTCACCGTGTAGATGTTTCTGCTGTGCCGTGTGATGCAGTGGGAAGAGAAATGTCATGGTAGTGTTTCAGTGTGTCTGCATTCACTGGGAACAAAGCTGCCAAAAGTAAAGCTGAGTTGATATTTTTCACTGAATACTTTAAAATCCTTTAAACAGTCATCCTAAAGGAATTTGCAAATTCATCTTGAATTCAACAACTAGCTTTGATTAAAAACACATTTTTTCAGGGGTAGATTGAAAACAGAACTTTGTTTTTGAGAGGAACAGGAGGGAGCTATTGGTGTTTGCCCCAATAACTTGACGATTCCAGCACTCACTGGGCTTGTAGGAGATCAGGCCTGGTCCCCTGCCTGCCCAAAGAGTGCCTATCTGATGAAATATAGGATATTCAGAGAAGAGTTTATTTTCATTTTTTTCTGTTTAAATTGTTGTACTTTGTAATATAATTAATAGATCATTGAGAGACTGTGAGGATGACTCACTAGTCTGGTGTCGGACATTTTACTCAAGATGCATAACACCTTGATGCTAATTTCTTTGTGAATAAATGTTTCATTACTTACACAAAATTAAACGTCCATGGGAGGCATTATGAGCTTCTCATCTATTGTTTTTAATGGACTGGGAAAAATGGTTCAGTCCTTGCCTATTTCTGATGGGTGAAGAAAACGAACAAGTTGTAAAGTACTGCTTTAAGCATTCCTTAAAGTAACAATTGCATCATATTCACTCTGCATTAACCTGGGGTGAATTATCTTTGAAGAATTGGGTGGAAGCTAGGGAGAGACAGCTGCTGTTGGCTGCCAGCGCATGGAGCAGCTCTGTGTACCTGGTGCAGGTCAGAAGGCAGGACTGCAACTGCCACAGTGGATCCATGTAGTTGTCACTCATCAATCACACTCCTACCTGTCCACTGCAAATTTCTTTCTCTTTTGCTTAAGGGAAAGTTCACACAGAGCCCTCTTACGTAAGTGTAGGCTCCCCACTATCTCCCTACTCTGCTTTCTGCCATCAACTGCTGTAATTTAAAAGAAATGAACTACAGGAAATAAGTAAGTTCTTTACATTCTAATTTCTTAACAGGTTGTTGGCTCAGTTGGATGAAACAGAAAAGGCTTTTGATCAATTTTGGACCAAGCATCACCTAAAACTAGAACAATGCCTGCAGCTTCGACACTTTGAACATGATTTTAGAGAGGTATTTCATTTGTTCATTCTGTCTAGCCTTCTCTGGTAAATATGGCCAAATTTTACCCATACTTAGAGTATACTGGCAATCCAAAAAGGAAGGTGGGAGAGAAGCTCTTCATTATGGAATAAGAAATGGATATTCAAAAATTAAGTTCTTGACAGCTAATGGATATCTTGCAACATTTGAATAAGACACAGTGAAGAAAGTGCCAGCCTGTTAGGCCAAAATGTGAAACACCAACTTCTTGATAAATCATTTTGCATTTATGTGTGACGTTACCAATATCACTTCTTCTGTGATGGTAAGTTGATAATCCCACCAGAATCAATGCAATGCGGTTCAGAAAGCCCAACTGTCAGCCCAGAAGTTGGAGTAGTACAGATTCTGGAGTCATACAGACTCTGGAGTTGTAGGTCTTCAGAACTGTGTGGGCCTAAATAAATAGTGAGAAGCAGGAAAAATCTGTGAAGAATAGTTCATTGTTGCTTTATTCCTTGGCTTTTCTATTTTGGAATGAGCTGAAAGACTAAACTTGAGATGCAGACTCTTCTAAAAGATGTAGGTAAATGTTTAGAAGCCATAGGTTTGTTATAATTTTGTGAGTATCTTGTGATGAGGTTTTGGTTGGGGTTTTTTTGTTGTTATTCTGTTTTATGGGTTTTTTTGTTGTTGTTTTTTAGGTGAAACTGGCACTGGATAATCTCATGGAAGCACAAGCAGCTTTTGCTGACATTGGAGACAGCGTGACTCGAGTGGAGCACCTCCTAAGGGAACAGAAGCAACTGGAAGAGAAAGGACAGGTTTGCACCCAATTCTAGCTGCTATAGACACGATCTTCGAGACACTTCTCTGTCACTGTCCTTACATCACGCTTACTGTCTTCTCATGAGTCATTATTTTAAATTGCAAAACCCAGATCCTAATTTCCAGAAGCCAGGTTTGTTCAGATGCAGTAGTTCCAGTTCATTACTAAGAAAACTATAATCCAGTTCAAAAATCAGCATTTCAAACCAGGAAAGTTAGGCCCAGCTTTGGAATCTGATAGGCTCAGCGTACTTAACAGGTTCCCTTGGCCAGATACTTTTTAAGACCCTTCTGTTCAGACTTATAGCAGTTTGAGGAATACCCATGCCTCCCAGTAAACACCTTTCTTTTCCAGACATTTGCACTCTGGAATTCCGTCAGCTGTGATATGCACCACATTTAGTATGATTAGAAAGCACTGAACAAATGAATAAGTTGAATCAGAGGAGGAGGCACATGAACAAATAGAAAAGCTGATGATCATATTTATTTAAGAATATGATTAAGATTTAGAAATATTGCTATATTTGCACAGCTTTTCTGTAGAAGCCTAAAGGAATAAAAATTATAGTAACATGCATTTTCCTTCCATTGTCCACATCATATAATGTATTGATGTGTGCTGTATTCCTGTTAGCCACCTCTAATTTCATCCTATTGTGACGAAGCTTATGACTTGTATCTAGTCAGAAGGACCTGCAGAGTTTTCGAAAATATATCTTGGAATCAAAAATAAACTAAATTATTATAAACCTGGCAATTAGTGAGTGAAAAAAATACAGGGTTTTTTATTATTAGGAACTTTGCAGGGAAAAAAAAATTGTATAGTCACTGTCCCCAATATGTAAGAAAGGAGACATACACTCACAGAATCGCAGTTATCACCCAGTGATTGAGGATGGAAGGGACCTCTGGAGGTCATCTTGTTCAACTCCCCTGCTCAAGTAGGGCCACCCAGAGCGGGTTGCCCAGGAGGGCAGGTTGTCCGGACAACTTTCTAATGTCTGCAAGGAGGGAGACTCCACAGCCTCTCTGGGCGACCTGTTCCAGTGTTCAGTCATCCTCACAGTAAAATAGTGTTTCCTGATGTTCAGACGGAACATTTTGTATTTCAATATACTCACTGACAACAGTTCTTCTTCAATGTAAATACAAGGTAAGACATACCAGCTAGATTAATAACCCAAACCTTTACCACCAGGCTACAGCGGGGATTACAGATGGATTGTCTTTATTACATCTGCCATTTTAAGATCTAACTTTGGATTTTTTCTCATTAATTTCACAGGAACCTTTGGAGAAGGCCCAGTCTCTAGCTCTCCATGGAGAACAGCTCATCCAAAACAACCATTATGCAGTTGACTCCATTAGACCAAAGTGTGTTGAACTCAGGCGTATTTGTGATGACTTTACCAATGAGACCAAGAAAAAGTACGACATTTTAGGAAAGTCTCTTGAGCTGCATAAGCAGTTAGATAAGGTGAGTGAACCTTCTCAGATAACAGCCCTGGTAAGGTTCTACTGAAAACAAATGTTTTTATAATCTTGGATAATTTGAATGAAGAGAAAAAGTATTTATTTCTTTTTTTTCCTCCATTTCATTCAGAAACTGTTACTATAAAAATTGGGGTAGTAGCTTCCCATAATTACAGTCTTAAAATGATGAAAAGTAGGACATAAAACTAAGAAAAAATTTAGCTAGGCCTAAATTTGAAACGAGAACCAAATGTTTTCCAGTGCTTAAAAATGAACAGTTTACTGCTTGTTCAGTTGTTTTCACTTTCTGTGATCTAACTAGAATAGCAAGCTAAATGCTTTGAGAATGTCTACATGCTATTCCAGCCTCATCTGGAACAGGAATTACCAAAATTTTACAGTAAAAACCTGCTTTGGAGTATTTGCAGCCAAGTTTTATAGGCCTAAGAAGTTTTGGGGAATTTTGATATGGTTCAAATATTCATTTGGGGTTTTGGATAATTATGTGACTGAGCACCAAAATGAGGTAGTACAGCTGACAGATTTGATTTGCAGCAACCACAGTAACACTTCTCCTCTTTGCTCAGAATATTGTTATTTTACATGTCACTGGACCATCTAGCCCGTGAGAGCTGAATTTAACTTGCTGTTGATGTCTAGGTGGGGTGACTTATGGCCTGGAACTGTTGAGTGCTATGAAGTAACATTCATTCCCTTTAGTGACATGTTAGGGCAAATCTGTATTTCATGGAGTAGAAGCAACGCTTCACAACATGGACTGTCAGTGATGATGGAGTCCTTGCCCCATTTTTCTTTAAAGGCAAGCCAATGGTGCGAAGCTGGAATCTACCTCTTAGCTTCCCAAGCTGTGGACAAGTGCCAGTCACAAGAGGGAGCTGAAACTGCACTGGTTGAAATTGAGAAGTTCCTGGTAACAGCTAAGGAACACCAGCTCTCTAACCCGAAGGAGTTCTACAATCAGTTTGACATGATCCTCACCCCCGAAATAAAGGTAAAAGCCCTCAGATGTGCATGCACTCACTTAGAATTTCAAAATTACCAACTGCCATGTACATGAGAGTGTACTGGGCTACATATTTGAGTCTGCGCAATAAATACACCAAAACTGCACAGAGGCGAACAATTTGGGCAGCAAGTTTTACTCGGATGAGTAGTCACTGAAGACATACGTGATTTTCTTCAGAGTAGTGCTAGAAGGACTGCATGAGTCACCATGTCCTCCTCAGTGAAACTGCGATCTGTGCGGATCTGTTTATGGGCTGAGTTGCATTAAACTGCAGCACAGTAAGATCTGCAGCTCTGAGTCTGGGTAACAGAAGTCCTTTCTTAACTTGCTTAGTCCAGCACTGACAACCATCTGTTGTTTGCCTTTTCTTTACCTAGGCCAATGCCCAAAGAATTCTACAAAAGCTAGAGGATGTACAAGAAATGTTTGACAAGAGGCAAGTCAGTCTGAAGAAGCTGGCAGCCAAACAGACCCGGCCAGTACAACCGGTTGCCCCACATCCTGAATCTTCCCCAAAGCGAGCATCACCAAAGATTACCAGACCAGCAGGAGTAGGTAGGCCATGAACAGCTGCTTTCAGACACACACCAGTGTTTTGTACACACAGTTGTGTTTAATTTTTATCATAATGGAAACTTGCATTGATGCTCTATGTCAGCCTTCTAGGCCCAGCTGTTAAAAATGAATGTGACATATCTGTCGCTATAAACATACAAACAAGAGTGAATCAAAAAAAATTCAGGCTTCTCTTCCTAGGTCTAATCTACAGACAACATTTCTATGCTGCTTCTCAGTATATCTTGTATTGCTAATTCTTGAAAACCGAAGCCAGGCTAGTCACTGCAAGTATGCAAAGTAAGCATGAGAACCTCTTTTACATTGCATATAGTGTAATGTGAATATTTGTGTTTAGAGGGTCACAATTCCTCATGCTCCAGTCAGATACTTGGAAAAATTAAGGGTTCATTAATGACACTGACTCATGTGTGCAATTTTTGCTTTTTCCCTCTAAATAACTGTTTATTCACTTTCTAGTGTTGTCCTCTACTAACTATAGAAGTTGAACATTGCTTCTGTTTGGAATTTAGTGAAGGTTCTTGATTTGAGGTTAGCATGTGCCTTTAACCAAGATAGCTATTTTCTGCAAAAAAGAACACGGGTGAAGCTAATTTGAAACAGTGCATCTTGGAGACCAGCTACCCTGTACTTGGTGGCAGGAGGGGGCTGTCCCTTTTTAGCAGAGATGGTTCTGAGAAATTTCAAAATGAAACCTTAGGGCTTTTTAAAATGGAACCTTTATCAAAAAGCCTTGAAAAAAAATAATTTGCATGAAGAGCATGTAATAAACTTTGCTTTCTCAACAGGAAGATTAGGATGGCCAGTAGCCTGACTGTTTTGCTTTCTAGGCATACTATCACAAGGTCACACAAATGTCCCTGTTCTCCTCTGCTCCCCAACACTCGCCCTTTCTCGCCAAGGAAGATCATCATCATCTTCCAGTTACCATGCCAGTCTGACATCTGTACTATTTTCCCCCAAACCATGCTAGCTGTGTTCTTAAGATACAGCTGCTATCTCAAGTTTCAGCTTTGCTAGTGGCTTACGGCAAGCTGAGACCACAATGAGTTTGAAGAGGTTCTGCTCTGCTACCCACACGTGCTCCAGAAATGTGTTCCCCTCTTGCACTGTTGTTGGTGGTCAGTTAGCTGTATGAGTTGTGATTTATCTTGAAAACTCAAAAAATTGACTGCAAAAATGTAGTGGTTAGTTTTCCATTGCATGAGTTAGAAAAACGTAGGGAGCTCTCGAGATCGTGTAGCCCAGTCATCTGCTCAAAGCAGCACTAACTTCAAAGCTGATCAGATTGTTTACTACGTGGCCACTAGCGCTGAAGCAAAGAACTTTCAGAAAAATGGGATTTATGGGGTCAGTAGGTCAGAGCTAGTTAGTCCTTACTTGTGGTAGTACAGTTTTAGAGTGGCTTTTCACCTACTAAGAAACTGCATGTGTGTTTCTTGAACTTCTTTCTTGTCATTTTAGAGCACTTTTAGATTTTTTTAGTTCAACTTTTGGTATAGATAGAACCTTAAAAAATAGTCACTAGTATATAAATGACAATGCTTTAAGTTTTGATTCTTGTTCATACAGCCAATCCGGTATTATCAGCTCTTTCACAGACAATCATGAGATGCTCCCTTGCTCTAACCCTTGCATTGCAGTTCAGTGTTACACAATGCAATACAGGATAACTGTGTGACAAGGATTAGCCTCTGATGTCCTGTTGCAGATTAATAGGTAGATGAAATTTATTTTCAAGTGTTACTCCAGCTGTTCTCGGAGGAGGTCAGAGTCAAACCCCATCCTGTTCAGACATTGATAAGTAGACTACAGCATCTCATTCAGATACTTTGCGCCTGAAGATGATTGACCTAGAGTACCTTTGTACAAAGAAACAGAAGTTCCTGACTCTACAGCTTATCCTGGGACTCAAAACCAGTTACTTTACCTGCTGTGAGCAGAACATGTATATTTACATAAACTCTATGGGTATTATTTGGGTATTATCCAATTGTCCACTACAAATTATTACACTTTGAATTTCCTGAGTGCCCTCGCCCTCAGAATTCCAAAGCACTTGGCAAGTACTGGTAAGTAACCCTTTTTTTTTTTCAGTAAGAAAACTGAAGCACAGGTAAACTGAATGATTCACCAAGGGGTTTCACAGTCTGAGTCTGAAATGTGGCTGAGAATAGAAACAGGGACACTGAGTCCTATTCCAAACCTTGAAAATGAGGCTGTGAAATTCTGTTCTTCTTGAAGCTACCCTCTTTTGGACTTTCCTCTGTGCCCTTTCTTCACATTCACAGGATCAATAGACAATCAGCATTTATTTATGGGGAGAATTTTTGAGCACCATCTTCAAAAAAATGAAGAGGCTAAGAGCACCTTCTTGAAACAGATATTGTAACTCATTGTTATTTGTTACCCAGGACATACCTGACTATTTCTAAAAGCTTGCAAAATAGAATATGGCAACAGGAAAATACCATGTTCCTAGGCTTTGTAAATACAAAGGCAGGCAAAGGCAATAAAATGTGGTAAACAGAAATAGAAGACCAGAAATAAAGGCTTTTGTCCACAGGCAGCAGATGTAACAATACCACGGCACTATTGCAATGGTTGTCGGTGAAAGGAAAAAAAGTTGCGTTCGTTCCAGAATAGATTTTGTTTTGTTTTGCTTTTACTTGCTGACTCTCCATTTCCCTGACAAGGAGTGGCAGGGAAAATTCTGTCCAATGAGGGTACTAATGGAAAAATCTTAACAGATGCCAAGGCTCAGGCAAGAAATACTCCATTATTGCAACTGATATCATGTATGAGGGAAAGGGCAGATCTCTACCAGGAAAATGACTGTGACAGTTTCTTGTGTCTGTGTCCTTATGGTCTCTTGGCAAAGTCTTGGCTTAGTGAAGATCCAGAAAGGCAGCTCAGAGCTGCACTGTAAACTCTCCCTCACCCAATGCTTTTCTATGGGTCTCAAAATTCTAAGCAAAATTTTAAATTAATCCTATTTTTGCTTGAAGGTTTTGGTTTCACAAACGAACTTGTAAATTTTGCAGGGACAGGCCTGTTCAACATTTAAAAATGACTACTTGAATTACCATGATTCTCAAAAGTCTATGCCAGTTGGACTTGGTGCAAATTTTAGCTATGGGAATCTGCTTAAATATTATCCGCAGATTAACCCAGAAAAGGCAGAAAACCCTCTGCTGACCCTTTTATAAGAAATGCCTTGAAAATCTTTACATAGTATATATGACACTTATTTCAGGCAGAACTCTATTTACTCCAGATGGAAGCTACTTGAATACTGCTAACACCTAAACTTGTCCCTGCATTTGTTGGGCGAAAAGAAGTGGCACTTAATAGGGAAATTCCTTTGCTCTAGTTGAATTCTGAGGGCATAATTTTTGATGATTTGACTACATATTTGTGGACTGTGTTTTGGTACAAAACTCCTTAGCTGGACTGAGTCGGGATAGGTCCACAAAGTCAAACCATGCAGGCTAGTATTGCCCATAGGCTGTCACACACAGTGGGATAAGCCACAGAGCTCTAAAGGATAATATAAGCTATTAGGGATGACTGTAGTTAGCATTTTTCTATTTTCATTTGCTGGTAATTCTCCAAAACTCCAAGTCTTTGAAATAAAACTTTCCCAAGGGCTATCTTCTTCAGCCTGACACTTTCTTGGAAAACTGCAGTAAAAAATGGTTTGGCCATCTCAGTGAACATGGCTAGGAAAATTGTCTTGTTTTAGTTGCCTTTGTGGCAAGAGCTGGAACATGGCAGTACAAAATAGTTTTGTCCCTTCCTAAAGTGTCCAGATTTGACAGAATTATAAGCACTTGGGGAAAAAAAAAATGTCAGCTCATACACATTCATCATGTATGAACTTGCTACAGTTTGGATTCTATAGCCTCATTTCCTTTGTTGTCAGCAAAAATCTTTGGAACCCAGAGACAATATGTTTCTTATCCCCTGCATTGCTTGTTTCCTTATGGTATGGTCTTGCAGCAGCTTAAGCTCTTCTTAATGCATGGCTGTCACAGTCTCCCTTTCTCCTCTCCTCTTTGCCCAACACAGCAGGGTGTTTGTGAGTCTGCTTTCCCTCAGTACTTACGGTCACATAACTTGTGGGAACAAAGGAGGGAACTGAAAACTGTCACTGTGGGGGGGGTTGTTTTGTTTTGGCTAGTTCAGCTCCTCATCATCCAGTTTCATGAACAGCAGCGCTGACAAAAAAGGAGACAGAAGTGTGTGGCCAGTAGTTGGGAGGAAAGGGAGAACTGTACCTGACCCAGTTCACATGAGTTTCAACTGTTCTGGAGTCAGCCCTGAAACTGTGACTACTTACTGCTGCTTTTACTCCTGCTGCCATGTGAAAGAGGAGCTGGTGCAGTAGGTGTAGAAGTTTCAGCCCTGTTAAAAAGCCATGTGGGTGTTAATGTGATTCAACTTAATGCAGTTTTGGGGGTTTTGTTTTTAATAACTTGTGCAACTACCTAAAGACATCTACATTGAAAGAGCAGTGAAAGTCTGAAATCAGAATTGCTGGGCAGGGCATATGCTCTTGGACATATGAAGTGACATACAATACTCAGTAACCTGAAAATTCAGTTCTAAAATAGTCAAGTTGGTCTCCCAGAGTGGTGTATTCTCTTCTGATCTTTATCTATGGAACTCAGAGATCTCAGTGTGTTTAGTAACAGCCTGTTACCTCTGAGAAGTGTTGTGAAAACAGCTCAGTAAATATTTATGAAGCACTTGAATTGTAAAAATGACTATTAGAAAAAAGACAATTATTTTCAAAGCAGGAATTGAAATAGCATATGGATAGTAAGGTTCCGGGACCCCACTGAGAAATACAGATAAATCAAAACAGTGAATAGCTGCTCATGAATCCAGTAGTTTTGGATCCATGTGCTGAATGAGGCTAGGATTCTTAAGAGGGGGGTGGACCAAGATGCCTTAGCAGTAAAGGGGCAAAATTA